TAAATGATTGAATGCCTATGCTCATTTAACTGGATTTCAGTACTTTACAACACAGTGATATCCATTCTTCTAATTTTACTCCATGCCTTTTCCCTCCCAAAATTAGCGATTTCCTATAAAACTGGACGGATTCTTGTTATTAGCTATGATGTGTTTCCAAAGCTAATCCGTTTGAGATGCAATGTTTTCTTCTAAGCAAGACCATCTTGGTGTGCCATCTTGCGTCAACTTTTTCGACATCTCTATATGTATGGTAGTCTAAAATGATTTACTTTCTAGCATAAATATTCTGACAGCTTTTAACATTTCTGTAAAGTGCGTCTAGGCACCACAGGGTGAAAAGAGGTTAATGTATGTTCACTCTGCCTTAATTGCCATCGAGTTTCGTCCTAAAGCCATTTTGAAAAGAACGGCTAGTTCTAGCCCTGTTTCTCCGCTTATTTTTTCATATTATTTGCCCAGAAGGTATTGGTTAATATTTCGTGTCAAATATGAGTTGGATGGGGGTAATGTGGCCTTTTTAATGGGAATTAGAAAAAGTGGTATTTAAATGATAAAAAGAGCCCCAATTATCATTTACTCGTGATTTCCGTGAGATAGCCTAAGTCAATTAGATCTCAGTTTCCAAGGTAACTAATTTATGATTTCTTGGAATGTTTGATTTTATGGAGGAAAAAGTGGATTTTCTGATTTGATTTGCACTTGTGATTTCTAATGAATTTTAACCGACTTTTTTGGACTGAAAATTTTTATTCTTTTGAACACCATATGGCAATTGTCACGCATTCATCTTCTCAACTAAACTCCAATTTACTTAGGCCTTCTAAAATATGTTGATTTCTGCTCGAATTTTAACGTAATCTTCGCTTCATGATTTGTAATCTAAAATATAATTTTAATAATAATTTTACAATTGAACCTATCCAAGTGGTTGATGCATTCCCTTTAGAGAAGCAAGCTAACCAATGCAATTCCAAATTTCAAGTGCTGTTTTAATCCGTTGTCCGATTTGAAAATCAAATCTATTCGTATGATAATAAGTCTAGTGAAAATAGTTGAAGAGCTATTAGGTCGAGTAAAGTGGGAAGCAATGAAACCTTCTCCAGGCATATATGAAATGAACATGAATTTTGTTCAGACTCCCATCCTACCAATTGGAAAACCCGAAGATACCTAAGTGTTTTCTAGCTAATAGTGCCGCTTAGTCCACTTAACAGGGGGTAGTAGAATAGCGTTGAGAGGTCTTGCGTTTTTTTCTCGAACCCGTCTGACGCCACTGACGTAAATAATATCTACGTGCATATAACAATAACTGGGGGGGGGGGGACTCCAAATTGGAAGAGTTCTGTTGGTGATGCTTTATAGCAATATGATAGCACGAAAGCTTGCTCTTTAAAACAGATATGACTGATATTTGTGTTACTATCAACTAGACCTTATGCTCTATCCAAACCCCCCCCCTTCAGTCCATTATTCAACAATCAAAAACACAGTCCATAACGATTGAATTCATTCATCTAACCATCTTAGAGTAGTAACCTATTTTCCTATTTAAACTCGATTCATTTTTGGGAGTGAAGCATCTGAATTTAGGCACTGCTGTCTCATCGGGGATTTATACTGATTTTTTACTGCTCGATCGACAATTTCCTCCTGAACGACGCTAGGATTGAACCTTTACTTTTCCTCAATCCTAGTGGTTCTTACATCTTCTCTTCCCACGATGTGTTCGAAACTCAAACTTTAGAAAGCTAAGATCGGGATCTAAGTGAAATATTCATTTATACCAAATGGCAGGCGTTTTGATAGTTATCATTAGCCCTTTAGTTGACTTCAGACTTTACAGAGAGGAAGGAACATCAAAGTGAAAAACGTCGAGATGGGGAGGGGGTACAAAAGAATGTTTCAAATATGTAAGAGACAGGCACAAAGGTAGAAAAAGGTGAGGTGAGTAATGTGGAAGAAGTGGAATATGACATACAGTGGGGCCATGGTAGTTTGAAGTCAGGCATAGAATTTCGCAGCATGAGTATATGTTGCCCAGGGTGCACCGCGTGAAGGTAAGTCTATCGCGCACCCCGGTTAAGGATTGTAACCTTATTCATTTTATGGGTGCTAGAACCTGTAGTAAGATAAGTGGTTTTAGATTGATTTAAGTTAATAAGTAACAGTCCTCCATATAGATAGGTGCCCGAAAAGTGAGTCAGGTGTCTGTGATGCCACTTGCTCATTAAACTGTATTTATCGACCAATTTAAGCTTTGCGAATTAGGGCAAGTTTAATCAATATAGTTCGTAACTCTTCACTATGAAATTGATCCCTATTTGAAGCTGTATTAGGCCTTGTCTCAATATTCGGTTGAGAAGGGTCGAACACTTTGTAAAGTTAGTAGATGTAAATTTTATATTTTTTAAACTCCAACGAGAAGAGTTACAGAAGTAACTTGCCATGGAAATGAAAATAGTCTACTTATACTTCATGTAGAAGTGAGATAATCGAAAACAGCTATTAGTTTTGTGGTATGCACAATGCATCCTCTTTGCCCGTTCGATGTTTCGATAACCAATGCGTATATCTTCTATTTCATAGATGATAAGTACGATATTCAACATGCTTAGCTTACTTGGTAATCAAGGGAATCAACACGTTAATTAATACCCGTTCAAAGATTTGGGATATAGAAAATTCTCTATCTTAAATTAATGTTTAGTATAAAATAGACCGTAGGGGACACAAATCGTGTGGTATAAAAGTTATCCACAAATTGGATAAACGAGAAAAGAGAGTACGTGCATTGAAGAGTGTTGCAAAAAAAATAAAGTATAACCAAGGGTAGTTTTATAATTCGTCTATGTACGCAAGAAAACACTTACAACTCAGGCGTGTTAATTTTCATTCAGAAGACAAAAATGAAATGATGAATTGCCTATTCGCTAAATTGTCAAATTAAAAACCCATCAGTGTTGTGTAACGGTAATTTTCGTTCTTGAAAACTAAATGAATCCTAACGGAAACTTCCGGTTTCTTAGATGGTCGCATCATTATAGTCCCTGGGGGAGACAATACCTATAATGAATATTAAAAAATGGTATTTCCCCGATATATCAATAACATTGGTGAAGAGGACTAGAATATATCTGAGAAAATAAAAATTTCACTTTAAATTTAATTTGCATTCACATGCCAACAATATCGTATCGATATATTTGGTTAATAAATAGGAAATAATAATCGGCTACACTCGTGCCTTAAGATCAAATATATAAATCTAAGCTCCATAAATAGATATACACACTAATTAATAGTTTCCAAGATAATTAGAGATTTCATTTCAATTACAACTTTAAGTGAAAATTTAAATAACGACCCGCTCTGCTTTTGAAAAATCTAGTCGTGGTCGCTGTTCCCTTAATTTGCCTTATTGATTAAAATGGCCTCAAATGGGGAAGCTGTTGTCTCCCAAGCTGATAAAAATGTTGAAATGTGGAGAATTAAGAAGCTTATAAAAAGCCTTGAGGCTGCTCGAGGGTAAGTGCGAAGTAATTTATCAAACGTTATTTAATATTAGCAATGGGACTAGTATGATTTCTCTCATCATTCCACCAAAGGACCAAATTACTCGAATTTCAAAATTGTTAGCCGAAGAATACGGCACGGCTTCAAACATTAAAAGTCGTGTTAATCGTCTTTCCGTTTTGAGTGCCATTACCTCTGTGCAACAAAGGCTTAAGCTTTACAATAGAGTTCCCACAAACGGCCTTGTTGTATACTGTGGAACCATTATTACCGACGACGGAAAAGAAAAGAAAGTTAATATTGATTTTGAACCTTTCCGACCAGTAAATACTTCACTCTATCTTTGTGATA